CTTCACCTCTGTGAGGCGGTTCCCCTGCCACTTTCCCCACTTCCGCGGGGGAGCAGCACACCGCCGGCCGCTCTCTCGGGGGCTGCTCAGATGTTCCTCAGGTGTTCCCCTTAGATGTTCCTGGTGCATGTTGTCTCTCTCCTCCTTTATAGTCCTCTTCCTCCAATCCCAACTCGGCTGCCCACACGCCGAGTACGCTGCTCTCCTCCAATCAGGAGCAGGTCCTGCTGTTTATTGGTTGAACTGGAGGCAGCTGTGTAGAAGCTGTTTCCTCCTCTCCCAGCGCCATATTGTGGGAGAGCAGATACATAGAATAAGTCTTAATTCCAGTAACTTAGTCTAGTCCGAGTTGCTCCCAGTTGCTCCCCATAGCAGAGTTAGACAGTGAGAGAGAGACAGAGAGAAAGATCTTCTTTCTGTTGGTTCACTCCCCTAATGGCTGCTACAGCTGGCGCTACGCCAATCCAAAGCCAGGAGCCAGGTGCTTCCTCCCAGTCTCCCATGCGGGTGCAGGGACCTAAGCACTTGGGCCATCCTCCACTGCCCTCCCGGGCCACAGCAGAGAGCTGGACTGGAAGAGGAGCAACTGGGACTAGTACCTGGCGCCCCAACCAGGATTAGAACCCGGAGTGCTGGCGCCGCAGGTGGAGGATTAGCCAAGTGAGCCATGGCGCCAACCCACGACTCACCCTGTTTTACGATGAGGATGACAAGGCTGGAGATGCCACACAGGTTTTCTGAGGCCACGGGGCTCAAGGAAGGGCTGGGATCCACACCCAGGCCGTGAGGCCCAGAGGTCCACGCCCCCGAGCTGGACCTAGAAGCCAGGCCACCTGATCCTCGGGCCCTGGTGCCTCCTTGCCAGGAAGCAGAGGCTCCCACTGCACATGCGCACTCGCGTGTGCACACACACACACACACACACACGCATGCGCACGCTCCCTCCCTCCTCCGGCCAGGGCCTTACCTTCCTGCAGTCTTGGCAGAGCACCGAGGAGCTGCCCAGGAAGCCCAGCACCTCCCCGCAGAGCAGGCACTGGGACAGGCCGTTCCCCAGCGCGTTCCGCCGCATCGTCTCCAGCCGCTCCACCAGCCGCCTGCAGCGGGGGACGCAGGGTCAGACGCCATGTGCTTCGGGCTCCCGGTCCAACCCCTGCTGGGCCTGGCGCCCCCATGCGCGCTGCTCCCTCACCCAGGGTGCCCTTCCCCGCCCGCCCCTTCCTCCGGCTGAGTCCTCCTCTCGTCAGTCTCTCACCAGCAACTAACTGAGCACCTGAGAGGCTCCAGGGCCGAGACCTACAGCCAACACGGCAGAGGCAGGCGGGGCCCCACGCCCACCATGGGGAGAATCCACAGGCAGGCGCACTGCAGAGAGCAAGACGGAGGGCGGGACGCCCCGGGGGCAGCCGTGCAGGCTCGGGATGAGGAAGGGCGTGGAGTGGGGGACCCTGGCTTGAGGAAGCTGGAGGGCGAGCCAGGCCACATCACAGGGGGTCTGTAGCTGTGCTTTGGCGCAGCGGGTGAGCCCCCTCCTGAGATGCCAGCCTCCCAGACGGGCGCCAGGCCGAGTCCCGGCTGCTCTGCCTCTGATCCAGCACTGGAGAATGAACCAGTGGATGGAAGATCTCTCTCTTCCCCCTCATCCTCACCAAGTCTGCCTTTCAAATAAATACAAATAATTTTTTTTTCAAGTTCACCCTGGCTTCTGCGGGAAGCAATGGAGACAGGGAGGGGAGGGAGCGAGTGGGAGCTGCTGCTGGAGTCCGGGAGGGAGGAGGCGGGCGGGGGGGGGGGGGGGACAGAGGCCCAGGAGGGCAGCGGCTGCAGGTGAGCAGGGAGCAGGGAGGCAGGAAGGAAGCAGCTGCTCCCTCTCCTGGGGCCCCACGGCCCCCACCCCGCTGTTATCCCCATGACAGGACGGCCCGGAGAAGACACGAGCATCCCCAGGAAACTGCTCTGCTTGTTGGCGACTGTACCTCTGGTACCCAGCGGATGCCTGATGAAAGCTCTCGAATGAAGGGGACGGTACAGGCTGGCACCCAGACCTCTGCCCGTCACGGCCTGGTGGGAAGGACGCCGCCTCCCCATGGGGACGGCACAGGCCGGCATCCAGTACGTGGACGTCATCTCCCCATGGGGACAGTACGGGCCGGCACCCAGTACATGGACGCCCTCTCCCCATGGGGACAGTACAGGCCAGCACCCAGATCTCTGTCCATCACGGCCTGGCAGGAAGGACACCACCTCCCCATGGTAAAGACAGGAAGCCAGGGGCTCAGAGCCATGAAGTCACCTACCAGGGGCACACAGCTCCTGGAAGGCCCAGCCCACCCAGGCTCCCCGAAGCCATGAGGGACAGCAGGCCGGGCCACGAGGGTGCCTTCAGGGCCGGGAACAAATCCGCCCCAGCCCTGCCTGACCCTCTTGTCCTCGGGACCCCGTGAGGCCAGCCCTGTGCCTCTACATCTCATCAGACCCATGGACGTCCTGCTCTGTCTGAATGACCAGGAGGCACTGCCTTCGGGCTCCAGCCAAACCTGGCGCCTGTGGGCGGGACTGCAAGGGCGAGTGCAGAAGGCAGCACGGAGAGGCCCGGACAGCAGCTCTGGAAGCTGCCGGGGCATCCTGGAGCCCACCGAGAACACCCCCGGCCGCTCCCTGCGCGCCCTCCTGGGGCAGGCCCAGGGACCCCCATCTGGGGCCCCAGCCAGGCGGCACGCCGCGTGCCTGCACTAAACAGAGACCACCGAGTCTGCGCGGCCACAGCTCCACTCGTGTTCCGGGGTTTCCACGGGGTCTGCTTTTCTGAAAACAAGGACTCCTCGACAGAGAAAGGCAAAGGAGGCCAGAGCCGAGCCAGCTCCGCCCAAGGCACGACACTCGCGCTTCCCGGCTGTGCTTCTCAGTGTTTCTCAGATTTCCTAGGCAACAGCCACTGCTTGTGCAACAAAACAAGACAAGACACAACAGAAACACGGGGAGGCTGAGCTGGCCGGGCTCCGGACACCAGAGGCCAGGGAGGGGCCGGGACCAAGCTGGAGGTGCACCTGCCGCAGCCTGGGCCTCTGCGTGCAGCCCTCCCGGCTGGCCCAGTGCTGACTGGCAGCGCACAGCACACGTTTCAGCAGGTGCCCTGAGGGCGGGGTCCGGGCCTGCACTGCAGGGGGGCCTGGGCAGAGGCAGGGGGACCTGACTCACTCCCGGGGTGACCCACGCAGCACCAGGGCCCCTGGCGCCAGCGGCAGGCCCCGCCCTTACCCGACTCTCTGCTGCTCCAGGACGTCCAGGCGCTCGGCCCTCTGGATGACCTGCAGGACGGCGTCCACCTCGGCCGGGCTGAGGCTCTGGCTCCTCCGCTGCTTCTCCGTCTGGTAGGTATGCACGGACCAGCCCGTCTGCAGCCTCGGGAGGGAAGGCCACAGTCAGTGCGCAGACCTCCCCAGCGCAAACCCAGCACCCGGCCCACGGACACGGGTTCTCTTGAGCTTGGTCTGCAGGGACCCTGTGCTGTGGGTTGAGAGCCTGTTCTTGGAGCTTCTGTCCAGCCCTGGTGTATGTCCAGCCTCGGCACCGTCATGTACCAGCATGGGATCCGGGGACTTCCTCCCCAACCCTGTCCCCTGCTTGCCCCTCCCCCTCCTTTTCACATTGTTCGCCCCCTCACTCTCTGCACTCAGGCTCGCTGGCCTCCTGCCTGGCCCTCTGTGAGTCATGCTCCTTCTACCCCAGGGCCTTTGCACCTGCTTCCTGCTGCCTGGAAGCAGCCTCTTCCCCTGCCCCCAGGGATTTCCATCTAACATCAACATCTCCCCCTGTGCCCCAGGTTTCAGTGTAAGAGTCACACTCTCAGGGAAGCCCCTCCTTCGGCCCCCACAGCCGGTGAGCACTGCCGAGGCAGCACAGGTGCGGGAGGATCCCCGACAGCGCCCACCTCTCCCACCCGTGCTTCCCACAAGGGACAGCGCTGGCCCCCGGGGCTGCTGTGCAGCCAGTGCCTGGCACCCAGCACAGGGTTTTAAACACACTGATGCTGTCTTCAGGCCTGGAGGGTGGGTGGCCCTGAGCTGGAGCCAGGAAGGTGACTTCCTCAGGCTCCCCCGAAGCCCTGAGCTGGGCCAGGCCAGCAGGCAGCACCCGGGGAGGAGATAAAAGCTCTGGCTCTCGCAAGGCGACAGCTCTGGGCAGGCAGAACCGAAGGGCACACTGCAGGGTGGGCTGGGCCAGCTCCATCCCTGAGCACCCTCCCTGCAGATCACACGGATTCATTTTCCCACCCTTTGATGTCCCAGCCCCGGCCCCCAGGGGCGCAGAGCATGTAATTGCCAATTTCTTCGACTTGGCCCCGTTTGGGACACAGCGGCTCCTGTGATTGGCGCAGTGTGATGGTGGGAGGGGCACCGCGGGCTCTGCAGTGCCTCCGACCCCACGGAGGGATGGGGTAGGGGAACCAGTCGCACTGGTCCTGGGTGGCGAGAGCCTGACCCGACCAGAGCTGAGGGGTCAGCAGGCTGAAGAAGAACAGGACAACCAGGGCCCCAGGGGGACAGACGGGAACCAGGTGGGCAGAGGGGCCCTGTGCGGGGCTGGGGTCGTGGGGCTCGGGGAAGAGGCCGCTCAGCAGCTGTCCTGCAGATCTGGCTCTGTGCTGTCCTCCTCTGACTCAGGGACGGCAGCCGGCGCTCTGTGTCCCTGCAGCCTGACGCAAGAGAAGAGGCACGCGCGGGAGCCAGTGGCCTAGCCCGGCCCCTCACTCGCTGTCCTCCTCTGAGAATGGGAGTCTGCGTGGTGGGCACATGGGGGAGGGCCTGGCAGGGGTGGGGTGGGGGTGCCCGCCGGAGCCCTGGGGCACTCACTTGGCTCGCAGGGCCAGCTGTCGATCATTGGGGCAGACCCACTGGTCACTCCCGCTGCCGAAGATGGTGTCGGCCATGGCTCCTGGTGCCCAGCCACGGGCAGGCAGTCACACTGAGAGGACGTCGCTGGCTGGAGAGCAGAGGGCAGAGAGGCTCCCTGTGAACCCAGACCCCAGACTCAGCCTCCCTGCTGGACTCGCTCCCACATACCTCTGCTCTCCCCTAGGCTCCGATGTCTGGGAGGGGAGACCAGTAGGCCCTGTGGCTAAGCGACCAGAGTGGACGTGACCAGCAGCACCTCAGAGGATTAGCACAGAGTGCAGAGGAGGCACACCCTCCGTCAGGGGGCCCCTGGCGGGCATTCGATCCCTGCCCATTCCTGGGGCCGGCCCTGCCACACTGACCACACCCCTAGCAGGAGGAGACAGTGAGACAGCCGGGCATCCCCACCCCACGCTGGGGCCAGGCACCCGGGCTCTCCCCAGGAGGTCACGGCAAAGACCATAGAGCTTTCTGGAGCCAGGCGGAGAGCGGGGAGAGCGCAAGCACAACTGAGACTACCACCTGGCACAGGGCTGCAGTGACAAGGACGCCCCGGGAGCCGGCAGGGGTGACTCTGCTCCAGAACCGCCTGAGGGTCCCATGTGAGTGCAGGCCAGCCTGGGGGCGGCCTCCACCACCAAGCGCGGCACCTACTCTGTCATGAGGACGCTGCCCCCGCGTTCGGGAGGGGAGGGAGAGCTGAGAAGGGAGGAGAGAAAGCAGAGTACAGCGTGGAGGAGGGGCGGAGTGCTGGCGTCCGGGGCATCACAGCCCCAGTGAGGACGCAGGCTGCGCTGAGGCATCGCA